CCCCAAAACCCCAAAACCCCAAAACCCCTGCTGAAGAATAATTAATGAACATACTATTATAAGTTTTTATGCGTTCTATTGATCAGCTTAGGTCTGATTCCCATTTTAGATCTTTCAAAGGCCTTGAGTAGATCAATCTGCTTCCTTGTTTTCTTAGTTAAAGGAGCATCTTTAGTAGTCATTTGTTCATAATGGATACCTATTTTGAGATTAAAAGCTTACTTCTTTTAAGTCTTTGAGGCATTTTGGCTAGAAGAGGAGGTTTTGATGACTCCATTGCTTAATTATAAGTTTCAGGATCTTACAAATATCAGGGAGGGCCTCACTAAATTGACTAGGAGAGTTCTCTCTTGTGAATATTTTAGCCTTTGGAGCAGAAATATTTCTCATTCTATTTTTCATGTCTGATGTTAAAGTAAAAATTACTTGATTTAATAGAAATCTTTGATCTGTTTATTATAGTTCCAAAGTCATTTGAGTTATTCCGAAAAGTCATGTTACTGCCAATCACTATAAAACTAAGCAAGCTATCATACATGATTGGTTATTGAGGTTCCGACTATCCACAGTCTTCTGCATATTTCCAATAGTGAGAGGAGGCAGCATAAGACTTGTCTTAACAGGGATATTAAGCTCATCAAAAGGATCATTGATCGAACTATTCGGTTCATAATTCATCAATTTCTTTTTGATACTTTTGGAATTTAAATTTGTCGATATGAAGCTATATTCCTTATTTAGAATAGGAATCTGAGATCTATTAGAGTTCATCCTGGAATTAAAAACTGCTTGCTTAGAGTTTCTCATACTATTCGACCTTGGCGAAGATTTTGACTGCTTATCTTCCTGAATAATGCCCTCACTTTGTATTAAATGCTCAGATGCTAAAAGTCAGTATACCTCATACCAAAGTCTAGGGATAGATTTTTGTTCCTCAGTTTCGTATCTTCATCTTCCTCTATATCCTCCATCTCTTCAAAAGTGTTGGTATCGAGAAGAGTTTGGTTTCTTCTCCCTCTGTTTTCCATAAATTCTTTTTGAAATTGTCTGAGTTTATATTTATACGGCCTGCCTTGAATTTTCTCCCTGGTTGTAGGGTCAGGAATAAAGGCGACGCCATCGGAAGGGCTTATTGTTAAGCCGTCCTTACTCATTCCGCTATTTATCGTAGATTTTAGATAAGATTTCACTAATTTTGTATTCTTGTAGGTCTGGATTAGGGATTTATCTAAAGAATTTACCAGAAAATGCTACCTTTACTGCCTTCAGAGGTATTCCTAAAAGTCTGTTTCTTTTGGATTTTCAGGCTCTTCTTATTTCTCTTATTAGGCTTTTTGGCCGTCTGCATTGAATGAGCCAGGAGTTGCTTGAAGTCAGCAGGTAATTTTTCAGGCTTGACTTGGCGGATAGGGATAATCTTTCCTTTATGGTCATAAGTCAGAAGGCCTTTTTGAATCTTATTTTCAAACATTTTTTGACCTTTAGCTTTAATCTCTCTTTTGGATTTAAGTTCTTTTTCCATTTCGATTTTGTTTTTCTTTATTCGTTCCAATGTGTCTCTCAAAATGTCCAGGTCTTTAGAGGTGATATTGTAGAGTGGGTCGCGGTAGCTATGGGACCCATCCTTAATCCTATCTAGCCAAGCGTCCAAAGATGACTTATTTACTAAAGGCTTAAAAATATAAGCAAGATTGTCTTGGTAGTCATAGTAATCTGGGAGGTCCTTCGGGTCCAGCTTAACTTGACCATTAGCCTTATACAATTCAAGTGGAGTCATACCTTAGATTTAATTTTACTTGCAACTTTAGGTCTCTTTGGTTTATCCCTAAAAGTTCTCCCTGACCTGGTTGATCTTATTCTTGATTGTGCATTACTTTGTGACTCAGCGTCTAAAATTATTAAGAAAGTTACCAAATTCATCAGAGTTATCAATTTCGACATTAATAAAACTACCTGGCTTGGTTTCTATTTTAAGCTTATTAGGGATAAAACAGTCATTTGCATAGCTTTGCTATAGATATAACAGTAAGATAGTACAGGCTCGTCATCTTCCTCTAGAAAACAGTCGTCCACTTTCAGGTCTTGGCTGAATAAGTGACACGAGGAGGAGATTATTGCGTGCTCAATTCCGTAAGGAATGGTCATTTTATCAAAATCTTTATGACTAATATCATTTAATGTCTTTTGAACAATCTCATTAGTCATGTCACTACCTATTGATTGAGAGTCAAGAATAGGTTGGATTATCATTTTATAGATTTTATTATACTTCTCACTACCATTTCTTCTTCCTAAAGCTAGATTTAAGTATCAATGGGCATATCTTCATTTCTCTACCTGTCTAAACATACCTTTTGCCATGAAGTTTCTGCTTAATTTAATTTTATAAAATTTTATAAATAGAGTTGAGGGGTTTTGGGGTTTTGGGGTTTTGGGGTTTTGGGG